TTTGAAGAAATTGCCCTTGTTGCTTGACCCCGCTTTGGCATTTCGAATTTGCCTTTGTACTTGGGGTCTGGGCATCGCTGTTTAAAAATGAAGGGGTGTTTCCCACATCGTACACACAGCTTCTTCTCCAGCCATCCTTCTTGTTCCTTGGTGAGGGTGGATACTCGATCCACGACCATTGCGTTGGGGTCTTTTGGGGCCCGTGGTGCTGATGATGATGATGTTGTAACTGTTCCACGTTGTCCTGCCTTGTCGGCTCTGAACTTGGACTCTAATTGAAGGCATAGGTCGAGATATTCTGGCCATGTGATGGGGTCAGAAATTCCTAGACTGTCTCGTGTGACCATTGCCTGGCGTACATCCTTGCTTCAGTGTTCAGCGATGTAACCGATGAGTGCAGTGTGCCCTAAGTTGATCTTAGTGGCCCATTGGCAGAACTGTTCTGCAAAGGATACCATCGTGGGATACGTCTTGCCACAGATATCCTTCAGATGCTGCTGCACATCCTTGTCCGGGTCGAGGGTTCTGTAGTTCACTTTGAGAATGTTGATGAAGTCTTCCCATGTGCCAAGTGCCTGCCGTGCTGCTGCTCTGGTCGCATATTCGGACATGTATGTGAACGCACCACCTTCCAAATGCAGCAGGGCCATGGTGATCTTGTGCTCATCGTCATTGATCTCATTCCACCACATCCATATACCGAGTTGTTGGAGCCAATCCTCCAGACTTCCTTTGCCCGAGTAGTGTGGAGGCTCAGCAATTTTGATGCAGGGTTGTGCGATTGGACCGTGCCGGACATTTGACCTTGCGTTACAGTGACGCCGCTTGCTTTGAGCGAAGCTAGCTCATGTCGCAGCTTGATGTTAGCTGCCTTGATTTCCATCATTTCTTTGCCTGTATCGAGCATTGCCACCTGGGTTCCCGTGAGCTCATCGTTCAAAACTGTCATATGCGCATCTTGCACGAGGATCCTATCCTTGAGCTTCCCGATCTCCATCTGGAGCATTCCCTCCTTGAGTCGGTGTTCGCTCTTGTTGTTTTGGATCAGTGACTCGAAGGCTTTCTTGTGCTCGTACATCTTGTTTCCGAGCACATTGTAGACCTTGGCGACTTCGGTACTGACCGTGAGCTTCATTGCCACAATAACCCATTCGCGGATGTGGTCCGGGACTTCTCCTGGAGCAGACTGTCTGAGTGCATCTTCTAGATGCTCAAACTGGTGTCCGTCAAATTCCCAGATGGGGGGAACATAGGCGGGTAAGAGTGATGGGGTTGGGGATGCTGGTCCTCCAACTTGCGATGCAGAATCCTGCGGTCCTAGTGCTAGTTCTGGTGAATTGCGCTGCGAGGCACGTGGGGTGCTTCCATCGTGTGCTGACTCGATGTTTGTATGCAGAATATCATCCATTCTTTGCCTGAACGTGGATGCGTACGCACGATCAGCTCCTTCCATTGTGATATAGATGTAGTTAAACTAATTGAAAATGAAGCCTAGGTACTGCTTGTCCTTGACTTTCCCAATCTCCCTGACGATCTTGTCTAATCTCTGCTGCTTCCCTATCTCCTTGAAGTTGATCCTTCCTATTTCTAGGCAGCACGTGTTGATGATCTGTTTGTCGACGAAGGTGTATTCACGAGTTCCCGTGTAGAGGTCTGCACAGACTTTGTCTAACTCCGATGCGAGGAGTTGTACCTTCTTTCATTTGTCCTGATCAATTCTCTCCCAGAACGCTCCTAATATCGGTTGTAGTCTGAAGCGGGTAGCGGAGACCTGCTTCTTGAGTGTTTCGATGTGGAGGGTGAGCCTGACTTTGGATGGAAGAGGGCGAATGGGTCGTGCGTGTGTGTTGACCTTAACGAAGTTGGGAAGGGGTCGCACTGGCTGTGGAGCAACAATGATGGGGGGAACGGCGTTGGAGGTTATAAGTTCTGGGGGTGGTGCCAGCTTGCGACTACCAGTGGTAAGACATCCCTTTCTGGGCTTGTAGCGTTCGAGTGGTGGGGTGTGATCATGTGGCTTGCGGATGATTCCGCGTTTTATGATGTGTGTGATATCTACAACCCTAGCTGCTGCTCGCTGCCTGTCTGTGGACGATGCGCCTAGTGACGCAAGTGTGAGGAGCCTTCCACGCTCCTTGTTGGTTTCCTGATGCTTGTAGTGGGCGTCGAGGTCGATCCTGGGGGTGGCCTTGCGCTTTGAGGCTTTGGGCAGCTCAGAGTCTTGCTGAGGCTCACGCCGGGTAGAGATCGGATTGGAATGTGTGTCAAAAAAGCCGCGCGCTACGGCTGAAACTGCTTGCGCTGAAAATATGTGGCCACTTGTGTTAGACACTAAGCAGGGGTGCAGAAAATGTCAGATTGTTTCTAATGTCACGGTAACACTGGACAAGAGATCAAAAAGACTAAAAAGGGACAGTCACGTGGAACGTGCCGCCCTGATCCCCCTGATCCCAAAAGTATCCCCCTGAACCCTATGTGGTGCAAGAGCCTGTTGACTTACTGGTCGATGTGGCAGACGCAGGAAAGGGTGAGAGATATATGAAGGAGCTGGTGAGCTCAGTGAGTGCTATGGGTAGTAGACGAGGAGAAACAATCTGAGGTTTCATCCCCTACATGGCTGGTCTTATATACACGTACAGCGGGCTATCTTACCTAAGCTACCTATCTACGAGTATAAGCAAATGGCCGTACATGAAACAATAGGATGTCCGGAAGCAGAACAATAAGTGGGAAGATCGATGGTTGCCGCAGTAATGTGTGTGCACATCGTGCCTATCTTGGTTTCCCTTTTGTTCTCCGGTGTGAACATCGTACCTATCTAGGCTTCTGGCTAAACTACTAGGAAGCGGAAGGCCGATGCATAACAATAGTCCTTGTTCCCTTTGTTCCCAAATGGGTGCCTCTATTGTATCCTGGAATAGACAGGTCCGACCGTATCATCCACGGGTCTGGACCATAACATGTGATGTGGACTATCACCTGATCTCTACGCGTCGTGTCTGTGGCTGAGTGGCGTGAGATATTGGTGAAGCACATGATCTGTGGTGTGAGAAAAGTTTGTGGCGAAAATCTGTGACAGGCAGCTGTACAGGTGGTACGAGATTCTGATGCATTCTGGACAGGAGAGAGATGCATTCAGGCTGCAATTATGAAGCTGTCTACATATGAGATAGAACAGCCAAACAATCCTCTCACGAATTGATGGTGTCGTCATAGTAACATTTGTTATATTGCTAAATCTACATGTGCAACTTCATCACACTGAATAATATTTGTACGTGCATGATTTTATATGTTTCTGCATGTGCAATTTCAAGTATTTGTATGCACGCGACTATTTCGGTGCACACGCATGCGAAAATAATATTTATACAGATGGAACGGCATAATAAAGGGCTTGCTTAAACGGGTAAATCCTGACTTTGTTGCTGCACAATTGGCAACCGATGCAGATAGAGCATTCGGGGCTAACTAGCCCAGCAATCCTGGGGGTATATGATGGGCTACTTAGCCCAGAAGGTCGTGAGGTCGAGGTGTCAGTAGTGATGTTCAGGGCCAGGCTGAGCTGCCGAAAGCTGAGCCCAAGCCCTCTCTGAGCCTGCGCGCAGGCCGGGCTTTCAGCCACAGTCATTGCAGACATGGGTGCATTTTTGACTGGTAATATGCCATAAAAATTCATTTTATACCAGTAAATTCACAACATTAAACTGGATTCACTTCAAAAATGGCATCACAAAGCGGTCCGTGTCTGAATTGAGTAAATCAGACCACTCCCCTGCAAGGCAGGAGATCACGTGATATTGAATGAGCGGTCTTCAATGTGGGTTTTGGTCACACACGGTTCTCTCATTGCTGCTCAGTCTGTGCTCACGAGCACACCATATGGATTTCCACTGGCCAAATAATCTGGCATGATTGAAGGGTGATTTTATGTAGATTACTTGTATATTTACACTACTGATTGAACTATAGACATCAAGGAGAGTTACCTGCAACAAGCCCGGGGCTTAGGCCGGGCCGAGCCCGAGCCGAGCCCGAGCCCTAGCAGAGGGCCCGGCTTGCGATTCTAGCAAGCCTGAGCCTGCTGAAGCCGAGCCCGAGCCCGGGCTTTCAGGCCAAGCCGGGCCCTGAACATCACTAGGTGTCAGTGACGGTTGCCGTAATCTCATATCTCTTTTTGTATGGCCTGCCACTGAACTAATAGAGAAGAGAAGCGCGGGCTGGCGCCGGTGGCAGGCCTTGCAACTGGAGAGGATATGAAGGGGATGTAAAAAACGATGTAAGTGGTGTGTTGAAAGTGGGCATTTGATAAGCAGGCCGTTGACTGCGGGTAAGCAAGGACATTCGGAAGGGTTGCGGGACAGCAGAGTATATTGAGAGAGATCATTAATACATTTTTAATTTACATGTAAGGCGGGAGCAGGGAGCAAAACACAGGACAATATATAAATGGGGAAGAAGGGAAACACACGTAGATATGACTGTGGGACGAGCACGTGGTAGCGATGGAAAGGGCCGGAGAGCCATGGGGCCTACTTCCGGCGTTGGAAGTTAGGATCAGCAGTGCTGAACACGGATTCGGGAGCGTAAATGTCCTCAAGCGGCTGGTGGGAGAGCCACCAGCCACGGCCGATTCGCGCGTAAGTGCTGGCACCGCCCAGGATATAGGTCTGGGTCAGCTCCTCGCTGAGTGTCTTACCGAAGTTCTCCTCCGACCACTCGCTGGTGATGTCGCCGTCGCGGAAAAACACCGCCCAGCAGTGAAGGCTAGCAGATCGAGGAAAGGCGATCACAATATCAATGATATCTCGGGGATCGAATGGAAAAGGACGTACATATGATCTCCACACCCTTTCCAGCGGCTTTCCGACGTGTAAGGTAAGAATAAGAAATGATGCATCTTCTTGTCGATAATCTTGTCGATAAGCGTGCCGATGGTGGTCCCTTGGCGGAGCGGGTATGTCAAATAGTGGGCGGCACTAAAAGTCGGCGTATCGCGGCTCAGCATGGCGAGGGTATAGACACCAGGGTTGTACTCGCTGCCGGACACCAATGTCTGGTCGTAAAAATCCAAATCAGATTCAAGTCGGTATAGATCGGAGCAAGAAATGTGACTACTGTATGAATACTGCGCACCTCATTAGCATCTGGAACGACCTTCTCAGGTCCGAGTTCCATCGAGAGCCGAGCCGATAAGTACCATTCGTTATTGATACACTGGGACTGGGCGAAGAGCACGGTGGCAACCATATGGTTCTTGGCGTAAAAGTCCTTGGTGGGGTCTGAGATGTTGAGCCACTCGATCCGGTACTTGTTGACGACGATGGCTTTGATATCAGCAGGAGCGTGTATCGCGGGGCCTTCGAGATCCGAGGTGTCCCAATAACCATCAGTGTCGAAGTTCATGACGTTGTCAGCCATTTACTTCGTTCGAAGGGGAGCAGTGGTGGGAGGACATCGGTAAGAGGGTTGCGAATATAGAGAAGACGATAAAGGCTCACCTTAGCTATGAAAAACAAGTGCTTATAGGTTGAAAAAACTCAAGACGGGTTGTGAGTTGTGAGGATGGAGAACTTTACCGCTTTTCGACCCAGACTTTTTATATGTTTTTGAGCGTGCTACAGACTGAAGGAGAGACAACTCTAGAGCTACAGATCATGCGGTAAGTGTATGAGAATCCCGGAACTTAACCGTACGAACATAACTCATCCAACCGCGGAATAATGTGAAAGACGTATAAAGGCTTTTCCAGGTACAGTCCTGCAACGCGTTTCAGCCGTCGCTTAGCGTTCGTTCCTCCCGATACGTTGAGCGTGTTCCACCAAAAGCGTTATCGGTCGGCCACTTCCAATAAACCCCCTCGCGCGAGAACGCGTATGGTATTTCGTATTGCGCCCCCCTCGGCGCCCCGTCCCTCTTCTTACTGGGCGTGACGTCCGGAGGTAGAGGTCGCGGAGGGTGCTATCTTGGTAGCTGGAGGACATTACAATAACGCGGAGGGTTAACGATGAGACTGAGGACGGTCAGCTTCACCGGTTAAATCGCCACGCTTTGCGGGTCCACAGCGTCTATTGGGCGTCTGTTTGTTTCCTCTGCGAATTCGCGAAGGGTGCCAATTCGAGTCTGAACATAAGCGCATGCCGGGCCGACGAGATCTCTGGTGTGAGATGAGATCTGTTGCCCACTGGGCCGAAAATGATGCGCTGGAGACGGAATTCAGAGGAGTTGGAATCAAGTCCTGGCAGTGCCTGGGCAACAAGAAGGGCCCGATATGGAGTTGCCTGAATAAACATAAAAGAGACCTCAGCTAAACTCTAAACTTACGCGGCCGAGGATGAGTGAGAGGTGTCCACGTGGTCAACCGGCAGCTGTAGTTTCTTGCCCATCGTGTCCCAAATGAAGCGCTATTCCGTTTCCACGCCTACAAAATTGGCAACATCTGGAGCAGGAGTGACTCATAGCCTGAGTGCTCTGGATCCAGTTGAAATCCAAGGCAGGTGCAGAGTTCGCGATATCTGGTGAGCACAAGTTGTGGAAGTGCGAGTGGAAGGCGCTAAGAGTGGCTGCAATGCCAACGCTAGGAGGGCGTGGGAGCATTCTTTTTTTACGTATGGATTACTCCGCCGGCTTTTGCGTCGCAGGTATATCGTTCCAACGCCATTCCCTTGCAATCAAAACATTCGTGGAAACGTAAACTGTTTCCTGATTCAACTCCGTGGTCGACCTGTTGTGGGTTCAGAACGCACCTCGCACTGTCAACGCAGGCTGTGAGACATAGCTCTGTAGCTGCTCGCAAATGTTTTAGTCACTACTAGCCGGCGTGGGTCGCGACGCTTTTCATGTTCCATTTGATTGATTGATCCGAGCGAGACGTGGTGAACCCCCCAGCGCCAAAAGGTTGCCGCCGGTGGCGCTAATCGACATCGCAAGTACGCACATCTTCCTCCTTCTGTGAGTGAGATCGACTGCAGGGCATCACAGGTCGTCGAGAGGCGATGGGCCCCCGCAGAATATGCCCTCTCAACACCGTTGTCTGGTGTATTGTCAACCGCGGACAGGCGATTCGGGCGTGGCATCTGCTGAGGACCCACAAGGACTCCCCTCCTTATGCTATACCAGACGCATCTTTCACATTCATCAATCAGGAGGATTTGCAGCAGCACGGTTATGTTATCAGCTCTCGGTTTCGTCTCCGCGGACCCAATCAGAAGGTATATCCTTGATAATCACATTCTATTGTTAACCTTCCTACAGTCCTGGCTCATGCAATCTGGTTGCGAGGGGAACCGGTCTCCATTCAACTGTCAGAAATATATCATTCCAGCAGACATGCACACATTATCATCACTAGGGATAGATCGTTTCACTCACCGAGCTGGAAACACCATCTCGTCTCGTTTCAGACGATCACGGCAGCGCAACAGCTATTGAGCGGAGGAACAACGGAAAGAAACGCAACAGTCGAGTTGCCGAGACAGTATCATACATGCGCGCTAATGAAATCTGTGTAGCAGCTGGATATCTCGATATCACCCCACCGCCATGCTGCATTCTGCTATGTATATATATAAGTCAGGGTACATCAATCTTATATTAGAGAACATCAAACGAGCCCAGCGCTCTTTTAGTTTCAACACCATCTCCGCGCATTCTGGAAGAGCCTGAACCACGGACCCACGCCCTTCCAAGGGTCATTCAACGCGGGAGGATACCAGCTGTTGCACTGTAGCCTGATGACTCTTTCAGTGTGAGGCATCAGCGCCAGCACACGCCCGTCTGGCGTATGCAACCCCGCGATACCGCCCGCGCTGCCATTCGAGTTGAGCTGGTACAGCTCCGTGGGCTGTCCCGCCGAGTCAACATTTACGCAGTGCCACCTATCCCTGCATCTCCAGCTTGTCCCGGTCCTCTTCGCTCGCGAACGCCGCACGGCCCTCGCCATGCGCTACCGCCACAGGCAGCCACGAACCTGCCATGTCACTCACGAACACGGAGCGGCTCTTCACCGCACTAGGTACTACCTCCACCGTACACACGCGGCCCTCGAAACGCTCGCTGCGGTTCTACTTGAACGCGGGCCACGCCTGCACGCCGGGTACGATTTCGTGCAGGTGGCTGAGGAACTGACACCCGTTGCACACGCCGAGCGCGAAGGTGTCTTCCCGCGCGAACAACGCGCCAAATTCACTCCGCGCGTACGCGTTGAGCTACACCGAGTTCGCCCAGCCCTTGCCTGCGCCGAGCACGTCGCCGTAGGAGAACCCGCCGCAAGCTGCGAAGCCGCGCAACGCGCTTAGGGAGGCGGCGCCACTGAGGATGTCGGACATATGCACGTCGATGGCGTCAAAGCCCGCTGCGGTGAACGCCCAGGCCATCTCGACTTGGCCGTTGACGCCTTGCTCGCGGAGGATAGCCACCTTGGGGCGGTGGGAGATGTCGCGCGGAGGTTCGGGCGAGAAGGAGAGGTCGTTATATATGCCTTTGTATGTTGCGTTGTTGATGAGGTCGTACTCCTCCTTCGCGCTGATCGGGTCGTCCCGGAGTGACTGCATCCTGTAAGTAGTCTCTGCCCAGATGCGTTGCAACTCTGCACGGGTACTGGAGTAGATGGTTGCATTTTGTTGCGTGATCCTGAATGTTACGTCGACCTCGTACACTTGACCAATGATATGGATGCACGCCACCGGGAACCAGACATTGGCGAAGATGCTCATGAGCTCGTCAACTTGTGACTGGCAGACCTGCATCACGGCACCGAGTTCCTCGTTGAAGAGGGTCGAGATGGGGTCGCCAGAGACCATAACCTCATCGAGGGAGACGTCAACGCCAACACGTCCAGCGAATGCTATTTCTGTCAGTGTTGTGAACAATTTCCGTCTGACCTGTCGTGGCACGCAAGAACGAGCCCAGGTGCCTTCTGCCTAACAGTCTGACAGCCGACCAAGAACGCTTTGAGTTGTGCAGCATTCCCGACGTCGGGTGCCTCCGAGCCAATCTCCTTGAACACCTGCGCCAGGGCCGACCCTCCAAGGTGCTGCTTACCCTCTGCCAGGTCAAAGAACACGAGCACAGTAGGCTCGCCAGTATTAGTCTGCAACTGAGGAGTCCATGTTGCGCCAATGTCCTCCACTCCTGCGAACGCGGTGACGATGAGGGACAGATGCGCGCTGACGTCGCGTTGCTCTTCGCCCTCCCTCCACTTCATCGACATCGACATCGAGTCCTTGCCCACGCCGAGCGCGGGGCACAGTTCCATTGCGACAGCCTTGACGGCAGCGTAGAACGCGGCGCACATTTAGTTCGCGCTGAGCTTCACGCGGCCGAGATCACCGATGCGAGCGGCGGCCAGGTTCGTGAGAGACTCTGCGACCGCCATGCGCCGAGCAGACGCTGCTGCGCTGCGTAATGCCAGCGGCGTGCGTTCGCCCATGCCCATCGCCTCTCCGAAGGGTACGTAGAAGCCGTATGACGCTTGGGTGACGGCGACGTCCGCTATGGGTACCTGCCAGCCTGAGGGCCCGAATATCTGATCCCGAGTTACGAGACCTGTGATGAAGCGGTCTCCGATTGTGATGAGGAACGATTTGAGACTACGGAAGGCAGACGGAGAACGCGGCGCACAGCAGCGGCGATGCGGTCCTGGGAAGTGGTAGCTGAGGGCACGTACCGAGCCAGCGAGGTATCGAACGGGACGTAGGTGGTCAGCTTGGTCGAGTCGGAACGGTGCATCCTGGGTGGCTTTCCGAACAGTGTTGACATCTTCAGCCGGATGACGTCCGTCTCAAACAGGCGATCCGTGACGATGAGCTCCTCCTCCGCCGTCGCAACGCCGACAAGGGAAAAGGGACATCGTTCACGCTGTGCAAGCGCGGTGAATTCCGACTCCTTCTCCGGCGAAATGGCAAGAACGTATCGTTCCTGACTCTCGTTGCACCAGATCTCCATGGGCGACATGCTTGTATCCGCCACGAGCACGTCACGTATCTCGAAGATAGCTCCCAGACCGGAATCGTGCACCAGCTCCGGCAGAGCGTTCAAAGACTACCGGCGCAGACATCGTGGATGGACTGTATAGGGTTTCCCTCACCGAGGTTGACGCACGCATCGATGACCTGCTGACAGCGCCGCTGCATCTCCGCGTTGTCTCGCTGCACACTCGCAAAATCCAATTCAGCCGAGCCGGCACCGGAGACTTGACCGCTTGCTGCTCCTCTGCCAAGAGCGATCAGTAATCCGGGGCCACCAAGCACGATGATCTTCGCTCCAGGGGAAATCGTAGATTTCATCGCGAAGGAGGGACGAACGTTATCCAGACCGCCAGCAAGCATGATCGGCTTGTGGTAACCACCAGTCTCCACCTCCCCTTCTACACCAGCAGGAACGCGTTCTGCGAACGTACGGAAGTATCATTCAGAGCAGGGCGCCCGAACTCGTTGTTGAACGCACTCGCGCCCAGTGGGCCCTCGATCATGATGTCAAGCGCAGGCGCGATGTGAGCGGGGCGGCCAAAGTCTGTCTCCCAGGGCTGCTCGAAGCCAGGTATCAGCAGATTGGAGACGGTAAAGCCAGCAAGACCCGCTTTGGGCTTTGACCCTCGGCCAACAGCGCCTTCGTCTCTGATCTCACCTCCGGAACCATTTGCCGACCCAGGGTGCGGCGACACGGCAGTCGGGTGGTTATGGGTCTCGACCTTGATGAGAATGGGCATATCCTCAACCTGCGCCTCATATCGTGGCGATACTTGGTCTGCGAACGAGACTCCGAAGCGTGGCGCGGAATGTCCTTCAAATACCGCTGCGTTGTCCGAATAGGCTGAGATCGTTCCTTTCCCGCAGACCTTCTCTGTGTTTCTGATCATCTGGAATAGAGACGTATCCTGCAAGGCGTCGTCGACAGTCCACGATGCATTGAATATCTTGTGCCTGCAGTGCTCGGAATTGACTTGAGCGAACATGAACAGCTCGGCATCGGTGGGGTTGCGGCTGATAGGAGAGGAGCCAGACACGAATGCGTCCACCAAGTAGTCGATCTCATCGGAAGACAATGCCAACCCTAACTCCTTGTTTGCGGCGACCAGCTTCTCGCGAGCAGCTCCGGCATTCTTGCTGTCTGATATCAAGTCAACGGTGACAAGAGGCTTTGTAGTCTTGTGAGAGAATATGACCTCGGGGTCAGGATGCGTGAGTTGGACGACTTGAGTCATACGGTCATGTATGAGATCCGCGAAGGATGCGAGGTCGTCCCGCGTCAGGTCTCCTTCGAAAATCTGGAAGACAAAGATAACACCTCGCTCGATACGTTTGACGTACTTCTTGAGCCCGCATATCGCAGCGATATCCGTCGCTTTGCTGGACTAGGGAGATACGGCTCCTGGCCGGGACAGGACAAAGGCAATGTTGCGTTCCCCACGCAAGGCATCGGCGGTGCCCGGAAGCATGATGTCATCTCCGTATTGAAGCCAGCGACTGTGAATCAGCTGCGGCTTGGATCCTGGTTGGTACAGTTCCTCCTGCAATGAGTCGACGAGGTGCAGGTGGACCGCGTCCACGGAGATGATCTTCGGACAACGCTTCTGGATGCGTTTTAGGAGCGTCTCACACCTTGTCTGGATTAGGTAGGAAGATCCATGGAGTTCCAGCATCGTCTCTAACGAAAACGTCATGGGAATACGAAAGAGCATCGTGAAGTCACGTACCAGCCACGCTCGAAAGTGCGATGTATGGACTCAGCTAACGAACGCAACGAGGGCGAGCTGTTGAAAATGATTGCTTAATGGAATCTTCTCATAAACTGGATGTGACTTACCGGACAGGAAGGCATGATTGTCCTCTGGAGTGGGCTGCTACTGTGGTAGATGTTCTCTCTCATACCTCAGCGATTTAGTACACAGATCTAATCTTATCTACGTTACGTAATGATCACTGATTGAGATGCGCCACTGTCTTGCTCCTTCAAGTCTGCAGAAACAGTGATGGTAATTTCTTAGTCTCGTAACCAGACGGTATAGGTGAAGCCGTGCAGCAGGCAGGGAGAGGCAGCGCCACCACAGCCACAGCGGAGTGTGAGCGGAGAGCGAAGAAAATCTGCACAGCTCCACCTATACCGTCTGGTGAATTTGGT